GTAAAAAGAAACAGGGAAAAAGATAGATTACATACTCCAACAGTACACGTACAGCAAGCTAGCGGAGCAGGCAAACAACCACTCCGCTTAAACCCACGGGTGACAGAGCATTAAGAAAATGTATTGGGGGGGAACCCCGGAAGGGAAAATCCCTATAGGAAAACTCCCCCCCCCCCCGCCTATGAGGAAGTTATTTAAACTAAACCACGTCTGTAAAAATATCCAGCTGTATAAATACAGGGTGGGGAGGGGGTGACAAAAATGTAAGCTATGTGTATTAGCATTGTGCTAGCAGTCGGAGCCTTACGATGCAGGGTAATCCTCCAAGGAAGTGCGGCCAGACAGGAAGTCATGAAAAACAGGCCACGGATAACTCCCCTCATGTGAAATTCATCTTCTACAGCGATACACTTGAGGATGGCTTTAAATAGTCCATCCTCTTTGTTATTGCTGTGGGGAGAGCTGGACGTACTACAGGCCTGAGATTCATCTGATAATTTAATTGCAGTCTGAGGAGAAAAATAATAATATTGACGATACAAATGAAACATAACAATTTTGGCATGTGGAAAATGTGAAACCTGAGGGGAGGGGGGTGGTCTGCATTTCTGAATTCACAAAATATCTCTGGCACAAACCATTGTGTAATATAAACTCTCCTTCAGGTTTAAGTAGTCAGTGAGGAGGTCAATTTGGGGCAGGGGCGGGTAGTTGGTTGTCGGCCTGTAATCAGGCTGGAGGCTATGCCAGGCCTTTCCGACCACGGCGAGGGGGTAATTGTAAAGAACTAACCCACATCCTGTGCACAAAGATTCACAATTAATGCACCTGTATTGCTAAGGTCTGTTCCCAAAAGCACCATTCATATTTAACATATCAAACTTAAAAATCTACCAAAACACACTGTAGGATATATCCCAGGTGACCGCAATGGTCTGCTCTCATTCAAGAGCTGATTAGCCCAGTTGTATACAGTAAGTATATGACATATAAAATATATACCTGATCATGCTTACAGCAAAGGCCTGATGAAGATCTAATGACCGTACCTAAAGCACCTGCACCTCACACCGCAGCTGAACACGTTCCAAATAAGTGTCGGGTAGAAGCAGGGGTCCGTGTGCGGCAAACCTGCATGTAACGATTTTAATGGGGGCTACTACCGCTTAAGGAAACACAGCAGCCATGTCGTGGGGGTGAAACAGGGCAAACGCAGCATCTGGGCACCGCCTGGCACCAGACGGGCATCCTAGGCGGGAAAATCCCCTTGAAAGCCACCTGTTTCCGAGGGCAGTACACTAACGAGGGAAAAGCTAATGAGACTAGCAAAGTAGAAGGGCTAAAAGTGGGGAGGAGAGTCCCATTAATTATTCATCACTGGAGAAATTATCATCAGGAGTGAGCCGCTTTGAATGAATAATTGATCCCATCTTACCAGGCTAATGTTAAAACATGCAGACTTTTGACAGACAGGAATCAATGTGGGATTTGAGTGTGAAGGGGGTTCGAGAGCAAGAGAGCGCTTCCAGGGTGCTTGGAAAGAAGAATTCGGCTCTTTCGGTCTTGCCACCTCACTCCCGTTCTGCAGGGGGCGCCAAAGAAGTCAATGAAGACAATGGAATAAATGAGGAAGAGCATCCAGTGACTCTGGCTTAAGAAGCCATTTCCTGTTATTATCATTGATGATCATCAATAATGACCAATTTTTTTGGAAAATGGATGGATGTGTAAGTAAAATGTATTTCACTGGTAAAGCTGCTCATTTATAACAAGCAGGCCATGCTGTAGCCCTGTTTCTGGACCTCACACATTCAGATACTGGAAAAATCCTTGCCACTGTCTTATTCCCACGGTCCTCCAGTCCATGTCATACAATCATTCACTTTGCGGCACCAAAAGTACCAAAGTACCAAAATGTGCACCAGTTGCATTAGTACTTTGACAGTTCAGGCAGGGGGATTTGCTAAGAACGGTGATGGGCTTATTGCACCGACCTTTTGTGGAAAAAGTGGGATCCTCACAGGCCATGTAGGAAATTTCAGCAGATCAGAGCCTTTTCAGGGACAAAGAACACACACGCAAACGTACAAGACACAGCACTCCAGCTGATTGCTAAGTGGTAGCAGCAGTTTCACTTCAGTGCACGGTACCCTAATCCTATGTCAATCTCCATACACAGTGCAGCAAACAAATGAATCCCCAAACCGTTGAGTGGAGAAGAATGAGGCAGGAAATAATTATGTCTTTAGAATTTGGCTGTTCAGCTCAAATTCACCCAGAAACAATGGCTGTCGTTCTGGGAGGCGAGAAAGAAAAGGTAGCCGGCTGAAATGTAATGGGTCTTAATTTAATAGTGTGTCACTGGCCCCCGGTGCTGAAAGTGAACATTGGCACATAATCCCAAAGGAGAAATGGGAGCCCCCTTCAGCCAAGCTCGTCGTCTGGACCTCATAACTGGCAACCACGACTCCCCAGACCTCACACCATTAGACTCCCAGTCTCTCCACAGTGTAGAGAGGTGGACTGTCCCGTGGCTATGTAGGGCGGTGGGTAATGTAGCAGCTGAGGGTGTGGTCCACAGGACCCAAATATTTTTAGTTCAAGTCCCAGGTGAAGCACCGGTTTGGTATCCTTCAGCAAGGTACTTAACCTGATTTAATACTGTGAAATAACTGACAAATACTTCACGGTTGCTTTGGACAAGAGTTTGCCCAGCAACCCAACATCACGTATCGACCCCAAGTACTAAAGGACTGGGTCTTCCTGGACGCACTGTAGAATCAGGTGACCGGGTTTATTCGGACTGATTCGTTCCATGCACCACATACGTTAGCATGTCTCGTTTTGTTTCAACCCAGTAACCCAAAACCCAGACACTGACACCAGTCTGGGCCCTGGGATCCTGCACTGATGTCACAATGTCCTCCCGCCAAGGTGGACCTTATTGCACATCACCTGGTGTTGAGTGGACCTGCTTGCCGCCCCCAATACTACAGCAAACACACCCTTCGGGACACTGGAAATAATTTTGCATAACTATGCTTTTGTTAGAAATGTTTATCACCACTCATGGAAAATAAGTAAACAAACTGCATCAATTTCAAATGAAACCATATTTTTGGCAGAGCATTTCAGCCAGGAGTCTGGTTGATTTTGTGGAGATTACAAGTGTAAAAACTAACAAGCCCTGCATGAATAAAGATATTCATAAAAACATTTAATTTCCTTTGCAGAATAACAAAACAAGGGCATATTTTGACAACAATGTCATTCTATTTATGCTGCTCTTGCGAAAGCAAAAAAAAATAAAAAGAGGCATTTCTGCATTAATATAAATCACATTAATCGTCCTAATTAATAGACAAAGCAGATCAGCATTTAAACAGGCTCTCCCCAGGGCCTGCTGTTCGTATTCGGCACCAGTTACATTACATGACAAATATCGGTCTTGAGACGGAGGCTTGAGAGGCAGTCGGTCTGTGAAGAAACGAGCATATGTGCAGACTCCATGGGGGGGTAGGGGGGGAGCGCACTGCCCCCGGCTCGGTATAGGTTACTGGGATTTCCAATAGGATAGCTTACAGATGAAAGGGGCGCAGAGAGCTGGCAGGATGTGGACAGAGAGGTTGAGTGGCATACGCCCATCTGCTGCTCAGCCCGTACCAAGGCTCGAGGGAGTCCCCCCGCCCCCCCCAGACGGAATCACCTGCCAGAGGGGCTTGGACGGACAGGTACCACACTCTCCACTGAATAATTCAAGAGGTAGAAGGTTCCGGAAGTGTGGCATTTGGAGCAACTTCGGGCCATTGACGCTCACCCTGCCATTCCCCAGCGGGTGAGAGGGGGCGTCAGCTTAACCAATTTGGGTTTGGTTCCAGCCCGCCTCCTCTGATGAGGTTCATCTGTTTATTTACCTTGATGTGTTTCGCTCATCCCAACAGCGGGACCCAGCAAATGGACACAGAAAGGGGGGGTTGCTTTGCAACAGCACTTCCCAGATATAAAAGGCTTAAACACAACAAAAGGACCGTGCTGTTTGTCTTTCACCACCCAGGAGGCTAGAAAATTAAATTAGCGCCACATCCGGGGCGAGACGCTCAAGATATGTTACACCATATATGTTCATGTTAGAAGCGAGCTGTTCACTTCGATATTTTACAATAGGCTGTTTGCTGCTAATGGAAAAATCAATGTCAGGGCAACTGCAGCATCGCAGCATCGCAGCAAAGGCAATTGGCCCTTTCGGCAGATAGAACTGGCTGGCTGATGGATTTTAAAGGTTCTGGGCAGAATATCGTTTCCACAGGGGGGGCAGGGACATGGCCTCTAGTCCATCCCTCACACCTCAGCATAGCCCCCATGCTACAGCCCCGCCCCCCCATCACCCAACACTTCCTCTCTCTCTTTTAAATATATGCACGAGGTCAAACATCCAATTCAGTTACTTACGAGCGGAACAGACGAAAACATCAAATTACATAATCATGTCTCCAACAATATCATCATTTTACCCAACAGACATCCATCTCTAATGCTCTCCCTATGATCCATAGTGCTTATTGGCTCAAAGATTGATCAGTTATTGTGTCCAATAGCGTTACAGAACATGCGGCCCTAGAATGACGCTTGAACATCTAGACCAATATCAACTGATGACGTCTTGGGCAAGACATGAATACATGCAAAGGTGGATTATCTCCCCTGGCCTCCTATTGCCACCATGTAATCTGATTTGTTGGAGACACAACCTGCTAAAGAATTAGGGCAGACACGGAATTACACTACTGACCTAAGAGCGCGAACACCATGGTTTAATGTGCTACCCCGCATCTTTATTTGTCCAATTCACAAACCACAAAAGTCCGCTTGGATGAGAAATTAGCAAAAGAGCGTAAAACTCACATTCGGGGCATTTCAACGTTCAGGAGTCAGACTTGTGGCTGTTCCAACATCCCACAGCGTTAAGCCAAAGTGACCTTCAGGACGCCCGCGGAACTCACCTTCCCAAAATCCCGCACATCGAAAAGGTCGAAGGGGTCGAAGAGCTCGCTGTTGCGCATTCCAAACTTGTCGTGGCACACCTTGAGGAACGTCCGGATGTTCTTCAGGCACAGAAACTGTAAGGGAAGTAAAAGCCAAAAACGTGAGACACTACTGTACATTAAGCAGACTGGGAGGAAGCACACCAGGAAGACTGTTGAATCACCAGACGACTTGGCTTATAGTTACTGTGTGTCATGTCTGAACGCTGTGTAGCATGTGGCTAACATGCGTGATAGCCAATAACTTTAAGGGAAAACGAGGAGCACTAGATGTGTTCCTTTTGTGGGAAGAACTCCTTTAGGAGGCCAAGGATACATCACAGATGTTCTTATGAAGATGCATCTCATTTAATCAAATTGAAACAGTGGACCTTTATTAACACACTACTCATCCACAAAGCAATTATGACAGATGGCAGTGGTGAAGTTTTAATAAGAAATGTATCTAAATTTAGAAAAATCATACTATTAACACATCCCAAATGACAACTTAAACGAAAACATAAATCAAACCAAACAAACGCATGAAACGGCACCATCCTATTACAGTTGTAATTGTCACAGAGCGGCTAATGCTCACGGATTAACTCTGCAGTTCACGTGGAATTTTCATTTTCATTTCCTGCCACGATTGGCACCTGATTCATTCTCGTTTCATCAAATCGACAAGAGGAAATATACAACAACATCATTTCCAGTGGCATCACGGCACTTACGGTGGGCGCCCGCACTAAACACTCTGCCTACCGACATTGTTCACGTTGTGGAAGCGTTCCCCAGATTTACGCAATAGAAAAACACAGAGGTCTCTGTTTACCTTATTCTAGAAGTTACGAACACACGGCACTGGTCCCTGGCTGGGGGGCTGGGATGGGGGGGGGGGGATGCCAGCAAATTGGCTTTGAGAACAGGGAAGCTTTACGCCAAGAAAATCCCATTAGCTAAGCAGCAAACACAACACTATTGTGTTAGCAGGCGTTAGCAGGATCCGCTATAGGAATGAATCACTGTCAGGAAACAGAGAGTATGAAAGAGTATTCCTCACATGAGTATAAAAGAAACTGATGTATTTCAGCATAGATTTATAGTAAATATGAAGCAGGGGGAGGTGGTTGGATTTTGAGGAACTGTAATAACGGGGTAAAATGAGGGAGAGCTTATCAGTGCCACCCCATCTCCATCCAGCACTGCATTCATGCCGGCTTTTCTTTCCATTTGCAGTCATTTCCTGCTCTGCCTGGCGGGAGGGGAAACCGCCGCATCGCTGCATTCCCCATAATGCAACAAGCGCGGGAGGACGGCTTGGCGACATGCCGTCAGATCAGGCAGTGGTACTGGCCCTTTGCTGCCTTTGGGGGGGGGGGGGGGGGCTTTTGATTTTATCTGGGACCCAGGACAATGAGAGAACCACTTTCTTATCCGTTACTCTCATCGATTGGGAGACGTATTGGCCTGCTGTGTGAGGAAACTTGAACTCCACCAGGAATTGGGGAACTAGATGTTTTGAAAGGGTTGGGGCCAATATGGGGATGGGGTCCTTTTTCAGGACCGATGACAGGAGTTTAAGTTCGACTGTCGAAATATCGTGGCGTACGAAATCAAGTTAAGAAAACCATTAAGAAACACAAAAAACATAAATGTTCTGAATAGAAAAATCCAAAACTATTACTAGGAAGCTGGGAATGAAGCAGTGAAAGTGGCTGGCTTTGTACTTCGTAGACCATGGTCAAATACTATAAATATTTATCCTGAAAATAACCATACAGATAAGGATCAGGAAATGAGAACTTTGACGACAATCCTGTAGCACCTCCCCCAACCAACCTGGGCAGCAGGAGAGCGGATTGCATTTCAGAAACACCACTGAATACTCCCCTGGCAGCCAAAGACATGGATCTACCTCAACTGACGTCCCTGGAATTTCCTTCTGCCTACCTCCCACAAAGGGTGTTGAAAGTTCAACCAGTTTCCAAAAAAAAAAACTCATTGGCCATGAAAAATACCATTGTTACAGAATAATATCTGCTGTGCGGATACACTCTCTGTCCATGGGCACTGGATTATAAACGGCCCTTTCTTTTGTCCTCTTATTAAGGCTTGACTCACGGTTTTTTTGAAAAATTCACAATTTTAGAGCCCCAAGTCTGCCTGAGATTCCTCGTTAAGGCCCATGCATCACGGCCCCCTACACTTGGTGGTATATATGCAACAAGTTTACTGAAACCCCCACCCCCACCCCCGAAAAAAAAAAAATCTCCTCTTTCTGTCTTCTTCTCCCATTGGCCTCCATATATAGAAAGGCACAGAAATTTCACCCAGCAATCCCATGAGCCATCGCACAGGATGGCGCTGCCCCCCTTCTCCGTTTAATTGCCTCTACCTTCAGACACATCTCCGCAAGGGGGCTTCTGACAGTAGCTCCTTCTGTATGCAAATGACCCCCCAAGTGCACTAAACGGGAGGGGGGACATGAATAAATAATGG